TAAGAACGGGGTTGTGTAAAAAATACATTAAAAGCATCATATATATTAGTAGTAATGAGAGTCGTAGTACAAGAAATTACATATACATTTTGCATTTATCACAGTTTCTGAACGTAAAGAAACTCTCCGGATAATATTTTCATGATCAAAGATGCAACTTAGNTAAAATCAACGTCTATATCACGCCTATGCGATGCCCTAATTATGCTATAATATCATCNGCATTTAAGTTGTTATTTTCTTTATGGTTTTAGACGTTTAGCATTATTACTTAAATAAAGCAGTTAATGTGCATCTATAGTTATGCACCAATAAAAAATTAAATTTTTGGTTGCACTTTGTTATTCAAAGGGTTAAAAAAAGAGATGTGATCCTTTGAGGTAATAAATGTCAGAGACCGTCAACCCGGCATTACCGATTTTTTCCTAAATTTCTTTAACACGCCACAGAAAATAAATGCATCTATAGTTATGCACCTCAGTGTATACATATGTATATATACATATGTATGTACCCTTGTGGTCAGCTGATTAAGTCAAGTGACATTTTGACTAGTTTTGGCTATTTTTCTTTTGTTTATTGAATGTATATATTTTTTTACGAAATCTGAAATGTGGATTTATATGGCGTTGGTTAGGTGAGGTGCTAAACTTTATACATATATATATAAGAATATAAGCACTAAATAAACAAAAGAAATATAGCCAAAACTAGTCAAAATATCACTTGACTTAATCAGCTGACCACAAGTGTATGTGCCATGAAATCGTAAGTTACTATAGGTTTCAAAGGCTAAAGTCAATTTCAGAAATAATAGTAAAATCACAGTAAAGATCAAAAATCAGAACCTAGTTTTATACAATTCCAGGTTCTAATATAAGTTCTTAACGTATTCTTACATGTTCGCGGTGGACGTCAGAAGATTTGACATAACACAAGTAATTTTTGAGCAAAAAAACAAAACCGACTTCAATTCTCATATAAAAATTTGGGATGATAGGATCTAAACCAGATTAGTATGGGACCAACTCTGAGACACTACCTTTCCTATACGAAAAGAATTATCGAAATCGGTTGACGTGGTCCAAAGTTATGCGGTAACATACATAAAAAAAAAATATTCCAACGAACTGATAACCTCCTCCTTTTTTGGAAGTTAATACTATGACATAAAATTAACGTCTATATCACGCCTATGCGATGCCCTAATTATGCTATAATATCATCTGGTATCATAAAATGAATAAAATATTCAATGGCAAGTCAAGCCAACATTAGTTAAAATTGATACATGAAACCGATGCGACATCATTATCAAAGTGTCAGATAACAATAGGTCATGTAATTAAAGTTTTGAGTAAAAAATCACGTGCCCGTTAGAGAAAATCGGTACGTGTCATCAATAACGAGACATACATATCATATTACGCCGCAGACTACTTACATTCTGAGTGGCAAGCACGGTAACTATAGTCAAAATCGATGCGAAATCAATAACACATCATGTGATGAACATTTTCAATAACCATAGAAGAATGCGCTGCGACAACATCATCATATCATACGATATGCACTCAAGATTATTGAGTCACGTGATTAAATTTTCAGCGTAGAATTACATGTATCAATACATTACATTATGTGATATCATGTCAATAACATATCATATCACAGCGATGCGGCGTCGGAGACGTACTTAGTACTTTATGATAACAATAATTGATATCGATTCGACATCCGTAATAAAAATTTTCGATAACGAATCAAATTGACAACTTATACAATATATACATACAGAGATACGTGTGCTTGAAATAAACGTGACATCACCAGCATATCTTTTGATACCACGTCAAATGCTTATTTGTACCTGGATAAAATTCCACACAGGTTAAAAACAGTATCATGCTATATCTCTCAATTTGACAGGAAATATTTTTACTTAAGGCATGTGTGAATCGGTAACAAAATTCTATGGGGAAAGCTGGTGAATAANAATACTATGACATAAAATTAACGTCTATATCACGCCTATGCGATGCCCTAATTATGCTATAATATCATCTGGTATCATAAAATGAATAAAATATTCAATGGCAAGTCAAGCCAACATTAGTTAAAATTGATACATGAAACCGATGCGACATCATTATCAAAGTGTCAGATAACAATAGGTCATGTAATTAAAGTTTTGAGTAAAAAATCACGTGCCCGTTAGAGAAAATCGGTACGTGTCATCAATAACGAGACATACATATCATATTACGCCGCATACTACTTAACATTCTGAGAGGCAAGCACGGTAACTATAGTCAAAATCGATGCGAAATCAATAACATATCATGTGGTGAACATTTTCAATGACCATAGAAGAATGCGCTGCGACAACATCATCATATCATACGATATGCTCTCAAGATTATTGAGTCACGTGATTAAATTTTCAGCGTAAAATTACATGTATCGATACATTACATTATGTGATATCATGTCAATAACATATCATATCACAGCGATGCGGCGTCGGAGACGTACTTAGTACTTTATGATAAAAATAATTGATATCGATTCGACATCCGTAATAAAAATTTTCGATGACGAATCAAATTGACAACTTATACAATATATACATACAGAGATACGTGTGCTTGAAATAAACGTGACATCACCAGCATATCTTTTGATACCACGTCAAATGCTTATTTGTACCTGGATAAAATTCCACACAGGTTAAAAACAGTATCATGCTATATCTCTCAATTTGACAGGAAATATTTTTACTTAAGGCATGTGTGAATCGGTAACAAAATTCTATGGGGAAAGCTGGTGAATAATATTTTTGCTATGGTGAGACAGTTTTGCCAGTTGTGTAAAATGAAATATTTTTTGACAGCAGTACATTTTTGATAACCGCAGATTTATGCGGAATAAAATATTACAAAATGAAATGAAATTAATATTTTAAGAAAACATCTACCATTATTGATTGCAATTCATCAATTGAAGCCAAGTAATATCAAACAGGTAGTAGCATTAGAGCAAAAACAACATATGCGCGTATTTTGTTGTTGCTTCTGGTATCGAAATGTCAAAAACTGTTCTTATTTATTTCTTCTAAATCAAATCGAGCCATGGAATGAAAAAAATATATAAAAATTGTTGCAACTTCCAAAAGCTGCTATTCAATCCATCGTACAGTTTCATAAGTAAAAACACTATCAGCTGATTGCCAAAAAATGCCTACAGCTGAGATCACCTGTTTTTTGGCATGTGCTCTTATCTTTTACAATTTCTTTCATTTCTATTACAATTTTATTTATTTCTATTACAATTTATTCAAAATACACTAACACACTGATCCAAAAACACCAATACAATAACCAAAAACACACCTACAGCCTGCCAAAAACACACCTACAGCCTGCCAGAAAAAACGGTAAGAAGAAGAGTTACTTTACTTATGGAACTGTACGATGATTCAATCGCTTGTTTTGTATGGAAAAAGGTTTCACATGCTAATAGATTTTAACAATTTAGAATTTTTGTGAGAATAAATTAAAAACATTTCATATTTTCGAGACCAAATAATTTGAAAGAAATCAAAACAGCTGCTCTACTGATACTATCTGTTCAATGTGCCTTGATTAAAACTTTTATTTAACGAAAAATTACACACATCAACATTCTTTGCGATTGTCAAATTTTTCTATGCATTCATCAAAAATTGCACTAGCCTCATGAGCTACTGAAATTTTATTATTATTATTTAATAATAATAGATTGGCGCTTACACATATGTTAGTGTTTAGCCGAGCTTCTCCACCGACTTGCGGCGTGCGCCTTGATATTGTCACACAAAGCGGAGGGACCTACAGTTTTACGCCGACTCCGAACGGCGATTGTATTTTTATGAGAAGCTGTTTTTCATGGCAGAAATACAATCGGAGATTTGCCATTGCCTGCCGACGGACGACCGCTGTTAAGAAAAAAACTTTTTTCTATATTTTTTGCGATGTTGCTTTGACCTCATACTTGTCAAAAATTGACTCGCCGCGAACTTTGTTACCGATTCACACACGCTCTTAACCGCAACACTCCACAGGCAAACACCGATGGCCTACCAACTGTCATTTTGACGAGCAATATGATTGCAAGTTTTTGCGTGTGGGCACTTTGATGTCTTGAAATGAGCATTTGCCGCATGACACCACCAGACAACATTCTCTCAATTTCGGTGTTTAAAAACATTTAAATCATTAAAAAACTTGCTGAATAATTTCCTAATACGTAATCATAAATACTCCGATAGGGAACAGATTTTTATTTTGATTTAATATCAAAATTTCATCGAAAAATATGGCTGTCAAACTATCGAATTGCCTGCAATAGATGTCAAGCAATAAGCGCTGACATATATTGCAGCCCATGATAAATAGGCGGTCTCCATTGGAAATATATTTTGTGACATGGTTATCACGACATCAGTGTTTTCCTAGTGGAGACATGGGCCTAATTAAAAACTTTTACCAATTACCGCATCGCTGCTACTAGCATCGACACACAAATTTACAAATGTAGAAAAATTCAAGAAGTGGTCGTAATTTCTTGAAATTTTAATCCTAAAGGGATTACTTTGAAAAATGAAATCCGTTTTTTTTACCCGCTACTAATTTCGAAAACTCGGGTTAGAAAAAAGCGAGAGGGATCACGCCCATTTATTTGTACCTTTTTCATGCTGTGTGAAATTTTTCCCACACCTAAGTGCTATATGGAACGCATTCCATAGCGACGCAACATCAAAAGCGTACCATCTTATATCCCGAATTACGTTAACAGTACTTGAAATTAACGCAACAGTCTTGACATAAAATCGTAACTAAGACCACTGCATCCATAAATCAGATCACCAGCTCGCATCACGTCATCATACATATTAAGAAAAACCTAAGAAATGTAAATTATTTATATATCCATCATAAATTTTCCTCCCTAATATTCAGATCGGACATTAAGTCAATTGTCCTAATACTCGCCACCGCCAACAGTGAGTGACCAATGCCAATGTAAGTCCACGTGATGTGCGAACACCATTGTTACTGGCTTGTGCCATAGGAAATTTGGCCATAGCGCAATTGCTGATTTGGGTAAGTCACCTGGGACTTTTCACTTTTTCTTGCATTAAAGAAACTCATTTCATTCCTTTCTTTCAAACCCCATAGAATGGCGCCAACATCAAGCATACCGACCATGAGGGTCGCACCTGTCTGGCATATGCGCGCGCCGCACAATCATTAGCCACCGCCAAATCGTTAAAAGCCGCCGCAGCAGCAGCGGCCGCCGCCGCGAATACTGCAAATGGCTGCCATACGAATACCAATTCTAGCACCGCAAGCAATACGAGTTCCTGCTCATCAACCGCATCCAATACAGCGACGACTACAACGACCAGCAATGCGACAAATAGCGCTGCGACTAGTGGAGCAGCAGCGGCGGGAGCAGCAACAGCTACAAATGGGGGCATACCGGCGCCGCAATATAGTGTCGAAGAGACGACAGCACTGGTAGAAGCTGCTGACAAGTTTGGGTTGTCCAGAGTCGGCGCCGCTGACGGCGAGTGGCACGCTACCAAGACGACGCGATACACTTGGCACGCCCTATGAGAAGACCGTATCGGGTGTCATATAAATTGGGAAGCAGCTGATGCATGGTAGTAGAAAAACAACGCAAATTGTGCGCTTGCGATTTATGTTAAGTTCAGAGTCTAAGAGCTGTTCAACAGTCGAGAGTATAGGAAGGAGAAAGTGCAGTAGTGGCTCAAAATGGGCCACAAAATGCGAGTGTAGTTGTACTTGTAGTTATATATAGATACATATATACATACTTATGTGTGCGTCTGTCTAAGATAGGAAGTATTATCAATAACTTGTATGTAGCATTCATATAGAAAGTGTCGTCTAAGTAGAGCAGCAAAATCGATTTTTTAAAAGATTTTTAATTAGCAGCAAATTATATTTTTCATATTTTATTTCACATTTTAAAACTATGTGTTTAGGTAAAACCAAAAAGTGTGTGTAATTTAATTTAATAGAGACAAACATAGTTTTGCATAAGCTTGCGATGTATGTATGTACATATGTGCTCAGAAAGCTTTCAATATATTATTAATATATTATTTAATTATTACTTTATAAGCCACATCCGCTGTCAAAATGTATTACATATGTAAATTGAAAAGTATGTCTAATTAAATAAGTTGAAAGAAATGCATACAGAAAGCTTGTGAGCCTGTTTCTTTATTAACATACAGCTATGCAGTTAATTTTAATATTTTATACTCGTCAAGAGTACGTAAAATTCAACATACTTAGTATAAGAAATAAAGTTAGATGTTTGGTTTAGTCAAGCAAGAAGAGAATAAACCCCTTAAATGGATAGCTATTGCTGCACCTCAATTTATACTTACGATACTTTTATGAGTTCGTTATACTGCAGGCGTTTTTAAGTGGCAAATGATGTGTGCGTAAAATAAAAAATAAAAAAAACGCTTTTATAAATTTTATTTATGTTAAAATTATGTATTTATTTTTAATGACATTTGTTTAAGTAGAAAAAACGTATTTAATTTTTTAAGAGCCGTCTTTCACAGTGACCAATTAACTGACTTTCGGTATTTAATGTCGTTTTCTAGTTAATTGATTGGAACCTAAAATCCGCCTTAATAAGAAAAAAAATATCCCATTTTTAAAGCAGAAAAGGCATTCTAAAAAGGCTTGTTCTTAATATGAAAAATTTTTCAGTTTTTTGACAGGTTTTTAAATTTAAAATTAAGCAAAAAAAATAAAAATTTTCGTTTCCAATTCTTTTTCCTTTAAGGAAGTCGTTCTTAACTGCAACAGAATCACTTATAAAATCGAAATTATGTATGTATGCCTGTATGAAAAATATCACTAAAATCGCAATCTCATTAACTAAAAGTATTGTGTTCGGCAAATAAAATTTTTAATAAATTAAAAGAGAAATAAGTTGAATTCTGACGTCTTCGCTCGTTATAAATATATTTATGTGTCGCACATTAATGTTATTTTTTATTAATTTGTTATTTTTTTTTATTTTTATTATTGATTATTAATTACGTTTAGTCAATGAATTGTTGCAACGCCTGCTTTGCTTCACTGTTCTACTATTTCTTAGCATTATATTTTCTATTTATTCACCAACGACTACGCTTCATGTTTATAAAAACAATCACTTATACGTACTACATATACATATTTTATTTCATGTATTGTATAAAATCTAATAAATTTGATTTGTTTTATCTGCAAATTAAAATATACTAAAATATTTCTTTGTTTTATTTTAATATTGAAAACATAAAACAAATTTAAATTGCTTAAAATTTGTGGAACGGTTGGTATGTATACATATGTACATATATCGTCACCGTCAATGCAAAACAACTCGAAATTTTGNTGCGTCTGTCTAAGATAGGAAGTATTATCAATAACTTGTATGTAGCATTCATATAGAAAGTGTCGTCTAAGTAGAGCAGCAAAATCGATTTTTTAAAAGATTTTTAATTAGCAGCAAATTATATTTTTCATATTTTATTTCACATTTTAAAACTATGTGTTTAGGTAAAACCAAAAAGTGTGTGTAATTTAATTTAATAGAGACAAACATAGTTTTGCATAAGCTTGCGATGTATGTATGTACATATGTGCTCAGAAAGCTTTCAATTAATAATTATTAAATTACTTTATAAGCTCACATCCGCTGTCAAAATGTATTACATATGTAAATTGAAAAGTATGTCTAATTAAATAAGTTGAAAGAAATGCATACAGAAAGCTTGTGAGCCTGTTTCTTTATTAACATACAGCTATGCAGTTAATTTTAATATTTTATACTCGTCAAGAGTACGTAAAATTCAACATACTTAGTATAAGAAATAAAGTTAGATGTTTGGTTTAGTCAAGCAAGAAGAGAATAAACCCCTTAAATGGATAGCTATTGCTGCACCTCAATTTATACTTA